ACAGCTATTCCACCTCCCCAGCACACCTGAGCGGGCGGTGGGCTCCTCAATGACACCGCACTGCTGCTGCAGAATCCCACCCAGCCCACAGACACAGCGCCAGGCCTGTGCGCACACCGCTCCCGGCCCAGCGCCCGTCCCGCAGACACGCTCGCCGATGGAGAAGCGGGGGACACCGCATTATATAACCCCGGCCAGCCCCGGGATACTCACATTTCCGCAACCACTTCATCCAGTAGCGCACGATGACGGCGTTGTGCTTCTTGTTCTCGATACACCAGGTCGACAGGCTCTGGATGGACTCCATGGTGTTGGAGACACCCTGGAACTTGCGGTCCAGCGAAGACTCCAAAGCCGAGGAGCCCCGGCCGCTGCCTCCGCCAGCCGCCATCTTTCTCGCACTCAGTCGGCCAGGCTGCTCGGGAGCGCGCTCGGCCGTGGGCGACGGGAACGCGCGCTTCACCCGGTCACAGCGCCGCCGAGCGGGGACGCGCGCCCTCTCTCCGCCAGTGGGGGGCGAGCCTATGCCTGTTTGTGTCGTTTCACCCCCTCCCCAAAAAAAAAAAGAAAAGAGAGAGAGCGGCCTGAGTCCGAGCGATTATTAATGAGTCCCGCACGGCGGTGGGCCCGTTCCCGGCGCTCAGGTCGTAGCGGGCTCTTTCCCGCGCGCGGCCGGGTCGCCGTGGACTCGAGCCGTTCGTTTTTTTTTTTTAAAAAACAGTCTCGGTCCACCCGCTCGTGCGTCACAGAACGCGCCCGATACAAGTTCTGACGACTGAACTGCAGCGCGAGGCTGACAACGCCGCACGTGTCTCCACTTTATACCCTAAAGAGCGACACGGCCCCTCGCTGCCGACATCACCAGCTATGGATCCAGCCGATATCTGTCGATATCCTGTGCCGCCGCCGCCGGCGGGAGGGAGGGAGCCGGGCTACACGAGCCCCCCTGCCCGTCCTCGAGCCCAACCGTCACCTCTTGCTCTCCTACGGACGTCACCGAGCGCTGAGCGCCTGTGACAGACGCCGCCTCAGCGCGTCGGTTTGTTTCTTTAAAACGCTGTTAAATGTTTTTTTTTTAATGGGGTAAGAGTCACTCAGAGAAAAGACAAGACTCCACGGAGCTCGCAGCACCGAGACCTCCGAGTTCGCTTAAGGAACCCAAAACAATGCAGTCATGGTCTACTGTACAGATAAGATCGCTACACCAGTTCTCTCTCGATTTATTTGGCATTTTTTTATTTTATTACCGATTCTTTGCTACGACTCAACGCTCTTACTCCTCCGTAAGTTTATTTTGCTGTGTCTCGCGTTTGAGGCGGCAGACCAGTTCCACATCCCAAACAACACGGCTCTCCGCCACCTTGAGCACTTTCCCTCTCGGCGCCGGGCGCGCGCGCGCGCGTCCCCGCTGGCCCGGCGGCGCCATTCCGGGAGAGAAGCGGGGGGGGACCGTTCAGACTTGTCAGCTTCTCTGGAGACATCGTTTGTCTAGCCCCCCTCCAATACAGGTTTCCTATTATAAAAGAGAAAAATAACAACACACCTAGGCTTTATTAGTATTTCTACTTAAAATGTGATGGCAGCCTGCATCTGTTTAATTTTATACGAACCCATGTCAAAATAGTACCTTCCAAAATGTACGGGTCACGTTTAGGGACATTTTATTCTGAGAGATTCGCGTTTAGTTCAAGCCTAAAAAAACGACATCAATACCAAGAAACAAGTAAATGTTTATTCCATGCTGAAAAGAGGTGTGTTTCTGCTGCGACCCTCCATGTCTTCCGCATGGAATAAACCTTTACTTGTCCCTTCGCAGCTTACGCATGCTGAGGCAGCTCCCTACTTGAACTTCATCAGAACTAAGGCTGCTTTTCAAAACTCATCGAAATGTCAACGGATGAATCCGTGTTACATATCGGCTATTAAGATCGCACGGTGAAGACACCTGTTAAAACCGATCTACCTATATATTTAAACTATTATTGCAAAATG